TTAAAATTAACAACTCTTGCCCACTATTATCAGATGTCAGTAAATGTATTCACGTTAAGTTAAGCATTAGGTTTTCTCACTTCTCAAACCCTTGTTCAGCTCTCAACTCGTCGAATAGGATCACACTTCTACACCATTCGTCAACCGTGATGAGTTAAGTTGAAATTCGACTACATCTGAACTTGAATCCCCAAGAAACTGGTTGCCTGCGCATAACTGAACGTCCACAGCAGTTGTACTTCTTAGGTGTTTCTAGTCCAGCACATTGCGTTGGCTATGTAATCAGTACCGTAAGCCATTTGATGATGCAACTTTTGTCTGGCCACACGATGGAGCGTGCCGCCTAGAAAAGGAATTCGAATTCTTCCACCCAGCCACTATCACTGCGCGCATTTGTCACCAAGACGACTGCCGTAGAATAGGCACTTCAAAAGCAATGCCACAGCGATTGTCTGGCACCCCATCAACAGCACACCTACTGCTATCGACGCCGTGGAAACCGCAGCTTAGAGGCTAGCAACTCGACAAGTGTTTATGCTGAGGGGGGTGGATTGGGGGGGTTCACCCATAATCTAGCATAAACATTTCCGAAAGCCGCAATGGAAAGCGAAACTTGTCTGTGCTAGGTGGCCTAAACTTGATTCCCTACGTCAATGTAAACAATGGAAACCTCGTGTGGCCACGTGGTCGTCAATTTAACAATATTAAAGCGTTCGCAATAAAAGCCCTCGGCTAATAGGAAGAGACCTTGATTAGTCGTCGACAGCCACACTGAAGCGCTTTTCTGATTCCCGTAACCAACAGAATTCCATCAAACTTGGACGCTGCAACACATAGTATTTTTTTGCAATGCTATGAATTGGGCAATTAAGTGCGAGTCGGTCATGTGCAGACTCATTCACGAAGTGCTCAAGATTTAAACGTTTTGGCGCATAAAACGTAGTTCATACGTGAGGAAGTGGAGGGCAGTAAAATTTCATGACCCGTCCCTTTAGGTGTTTAATGAACATCGAAATTAGCCTGTGTTAATGAGTAGGGAATCCAGGTTAGAATTACTCAAGTTTAAAAATGTGATGGGACTGAGTTACATTGGGAATGGGGAGGTTGGCCAACGGGACTGCGTATCAACCTTGCTTGACAGTACCGTCAGTGGATTGCAAAAATCTGGCCTGTATTTTCTCAAAAGTGTTTCAATTTATGCTGATTTAGGCACTATTTTGAGTAATTTCATAATCGTCTTGGGGTAACACCTGATCGTTTTCAGTTTGTCAATTTTGGTTTATAGATAGAACATGTGCATGACAGGGTTGATCAGCAGACGTGTGTGAAGCTCTCTGCAAGAATTTCCCATCCGTACATTCGCTGTGACAATGCCATCATGAAAGTATCTTAGCACACTTAATTTCCATCCAAATCAGTTCGTTCTTGTGGGGTTCGTTCGTGCTTGCGTTCGAATTTACATAACCGGAGTAACAGTACCCTGAAAGAATCTGCCGTTGAGTGTTCATTCTGATCCCTTTAGACACCATATTATCGTCAAAACAAACAGTTACGCGGACAGAATAAGGGTGATTTGCTATGCTTTCAAGTTTACCTTAATCGTTTCAACCCTTTGTTCCCAATTAATTAAATCTTGAGTAAAAATTCCGATTTTGCAGGCACATTCAAATTAGCACCCAGGCAAATTGGGTTATGATCATGCCTTAATTGCACAAATGGGATCATGATTAAATGTGAGAATTGGTTCAAAGTGTAGGCGTGATCTTACTTAAAACGTTGCAGTCGACTCCCATCGTGGTAACGACCCTAGAATCACCCTCTTCACGGATTCCAGAGCAAAAGTGTCGCAATATCATTCATCTTCTACTTATTTCTATCAGTTGTTCACATGATGTGGCGTGGAGCATAGCTAGAAGTCGGTGAGATTAAGTTAAACTACTTCTTTCCTATTGATGATTACTGACATATTCGAAAAGTCCATGGTGCTGATGTGTATATACTACATGATTCCAAAATGCCCTGTTCAGTTTGCATTGATGGATGAAGCACGCAATTCTGGCCGTATCGATGTTCCCTTATGATCGTATTTTTTACCGACAGTTATCCCAAGATGTCTTGAGTCAAAATAATTTTCAGAATGTTTGCCAAAAATTGATTTGTGTCCGGGATTGAAATTTAGAATGGAAAATGAAGAATAGCATTTTTGTCATGTCATTAAAAATGGGTGGGTGTTGGAACCGCAACATGAGTAATCAATTTCTTTTTGGATTATTTTAGTGAGTTTGTTATGGGACAACTTTGACAATATCCCTCTTACTTCTGTAAGATGTGCTCGAAATTGCCTACAGTAGATTGTCGGGCGAATTATGAACGGTTTGCGATTTGGTTATTTTTCACATGCATTTTGATCCATTACGAAAATTTGCTGTTGATGGCGACAGCATGTCTTTACCGTGGAGTAGTATTTCAGCATGCTGCCTCCTAACAACCGACATAAACTATTTCGTACTACGTTTGCGCCACCTCAATGCCGCACTGTGGTGGGACCCCGGTTCAGTGTCATTGGGGAAGGCGCAAACTGAACAAGGCACCGGTCATTAACTATTTTGTGGCTCATTTCGGGGGCCTTATTTCTTTCCCTACCAACTGCTAAGCCCATGGTTCGTCAATCCTAATTGGACAGGAAGTCGTGTGGGTTAATTGACGACAACCGGTGATGTGCTTTGATATGCAAGTGAGGGGGAGAATTCGCTCAGCCCTGTACAGAACGGGGCTGACAAGAGGTCAATCATCACAGTCCGCACTGTGCAATAAATCATCGCCTCAAAAAGCTTCCCCCCAGGCTCATCCAAACGCGTGCACAACTGCCTTCATTTGCGCCCTTACACTTTTGCTACCCCCGCCCCTTGAACTAGGGCTTTGTACTTTGAAGTGTTAGGATACCCCGCAAAAAAACTGTGTAGATAAATGTCTGAATTTTATTAATCTCGTTGAGAGCTCACTCGTTACTAATCCTTCAAAATACCAATTAAAGTTTGGTTAAATAGATGTAAATAAGGACAGGCTCTAAATTCGGTCAAGTTTTTGCGTCACCAGGGCCTCAACAATGAAACCCTGGTCTGACAACAATCAGAATTCATGGTGAGACCCAGCCATGATCCACTGGCAAAGTAAATGAGGCAAATATTAACACTCGACTACTAACCAGCATTACGTCAGAAATAGGTTTATGTAGAAAGAAGCGAAACGGAACAGAACGTATAAATCGCTGCACGTGATTTCACAAAAATGAAGGGCAAAGTTTTGAGTTCGGCACTTGCTTTTCGGGGTTCCCCCCATTTACTCTCACGCTGCGGAGTCAACGTGTGATTGAAAACCGTTTTCGGTAGTCTTCCTGTGTTGTTTTCAGCACTCAAAAACATTCAGCAATCCTAACGCCCATAATTTTTTTCCAAAATGTGTTATAGACCTCCAGCAACTCGCCCGCCAGCTTCTCCGCAAGGTGCAGTGGGAAGTCTCCCATTCTAATTCACTTTGCAAATCAATCTTACCTACTTCGCATCGAGGTTTATAAAATTCCAATTTCATTATTCACATTTCAGCCACTGTACTCGGCAAAATACCAAGCCCATTGGATACAGTTTCACTCACCAGTTATTAACCGTGGGTACGTCTAGCTCCACCCTCAGGAGAGGGTCCAATTAACAACGCTTTGGTTAAACAACTGTTGCTACCCCATTTTTTAAACGTCTTCATTGGTATGTTTTGAAAATGTACATTAATTCGACACGTGTTTTATAAAAAGACAAAAGGGAACACAAATTTACCCCCCTCCCCGATAAATGAAAGCAAAATACCACCTCCCACGTCTACACATGGATACCTGAGCCTGCGTGCATTCATACTCAGGGGGGCGAGCGCCTTTTCACCTATCACTGACCTGTTGCCAGGCCTCAAACTTGTAGAGTCGCACGTGCCTTTTTGCGACCCACTTCGTTCCTCGACAAGGCCTTTTGAATTGGCCGTTTAAACGACTCCGCCAACTGGATCAGTTACCGGCCGATTCAGTTAAACAGGAACACTTGTTTAATTTACAGAACCAGCTAGCAAAAAATCGAGAAACCGAGGCTTCTGAGAGTAACGAGAACCTGAACGTTTCCAATGGTTTAAATGGCTTATTACCAAACAGGGCTTGAATGTGGCCTGCTGCGCCAAACCCAGTCTCTCGAGTCCCCTGCTTCGCCCTCACCTCCGGCTCCCAAAGTAGGGTCGGGGGCAAATTAAACAGCGCTTTTTAGTGACAGCCATCCCACCGTTGAACAGTTACACTTGATTCACTCAAACAGAATTATTTCTACTCTTAAATCCAACTGCCGCATCCGCTGGCCTGCGTTAAGCTGGCGAGGCGCCGACTGGTTTAGAACACGGCTCCCAGGGTACCTCGTCACTGTACTTTGGTGGACAAGCCACAATATGTGGAACATGTTAACAATTTGTGGCCTGTTGCGATACAAAACACGTAGGCACGACGTTGACTTCGTCCATTTAGCGCCAGAATAGCCTGCCGGCAACATACTTGTGTGGCAGAAAAAACGGCCAACCACAAGCGCAACCGTCTTTGACGAAATATTAAAGAATGTGTACTGTTTCATTTGCTGCCTAATCTCCTGACTAAATTGCCTTCTCTTTGCGTCAATCGCTCTTCTTCGAAGCAAAAAATCCTTTTTCATTTAAAGAAACTGAGACACGATTATTTGCAGCAACAGTGTGCTTGGGTCAAAGCTCGAACATGGTGTCTTTACGTGAAGTTACAAGGAAACAGTCTTGGAAAAATACGAATTCCGAAAAAAATATTGCCTGGTTAAAAACTAAAGCATGCGGTTTATCTGTGTAACCGTTGGTAAAAGATTAGTTTCCTGAAATGTGGGGCTTTTTTGTTCGAGACATGCTAAAGGCATTCTACAAAGTGAGTGGCATAAATGTAATACAAAGCACTCAACTCAAGGCACACCGACATCTGCAGGGCTGGCAGAAGTGCTGCGCCCGCTTACGGTGCCTCGTCGTTGCTGGGCGCCATGCACTGCTCCCAGCACTAAGCTCTTCCATCTGCGCACGCGCGATGTGAGGCGTGAGTGCGGGGGCATAGCAACAGCATGCAGTCTCCAAGGCATATGTTGCTCTGTTTGAGCACACTGCTCCTCCGGCAGTCCTCTTCGCCTCACCTCCCCCTCAACGTGGGCAGGGTGTCCAAAATGCAGTCCGAGGGGAGGAGGAGGAGGCAGAGAGGCGGAGTTGGATGAATCACGTCTCTTGAAATGGCCCTTGTGAGCACCAGCGACACTGACCATCCAATTTTTCATTGCAGCCACAGAGCTAGGGGGACCAAATATGATAAAAAAAACACGCAGCAATAACTAACAAGTGAGACTAAATGATTTACCATTTAAAATCGTTAGTTTTATAAATGTTGCACGAGTCAAAATAAATTTCTAAGTGCGTATTGAGCCTCAAAAATGCTGGCTACCTCCCAATAATTAAATCACACGATGGGTTTTAAATTCGAAACTGTTGACTGGACCAATTCGGCTCGTTAATTTCCAGATACACCACATTTTAAAACCCCAATCACGTTCTACCTAAAATCGCACTTCCAAAATTAGTTAGACCCAAGACAGACACAGGGTGGATGGATATGAAATGAAGTACCAGATTGCGTCACAGATGTATTTGGATAAGTGAATTCCGCTTCACATTCTTCCGCTCACTTCCATTATGCAGTAACGGTCAGTGGAAAGTCCTCTAAAACCTTTTTAAACTAATACGAAATAGCACATCTGGTCCTTAAAATGTCGAGCCATTCTGCACGCTTACGATTTTGCCTTCGTTAATTAGTTGGGTGCCCAAACACGTCAACTCTGCCTCAGTTTGTCAACAGAACTTAATAATAGCTTTTTCGCTTTTCAGCTCGGTAAATGTCACTTTGAAATTTCCAGAAATGAATAAAAGCGATGTAACCAGAACTGGAAGACGTGAATTAATTAAATGATGCTTTTCACATGCCTATTCTCTCATTTATAGTAACTTTGAGCGTCTCAACGTGTACATACTTGGCCAGCTGAGCAGAATAACGTCTTAACCCCACTCTTTTTGTGAAATAGAGAGGAAACAATTCCAATTTCGGTTCTTAATTGCTCGAACATGCAGCTGATCCAGGTATACGATGACAAAGAGCTAACCCTACTTGGCTTTTCCACTTCGACGTGCGCCTACTGAAAGCCGCCGTCAAAATTCACAGAATGGGCACGACCGAAGTGCCTTTGATGAAAGTATCCTTTGCAGCTGTTAATCCGCGCGTCTGATTTATATGGCACTTATAAACCATAAATTGCAGCACTTCGGTGGGCTGTATGTGTGTTTACCGGCGGAGCATTACTGAAGAATGGGTAACAAATAAGATTGTTCTCCAGTAACATGAAGGTCAGCAGATATTTGGATACAAACAAGCAAAAAATGTTTTCAACTCTTCCCATTGGACGGGAGGTGTACTAGTAGATTTGCTTAAGCACCTCTCGGCTATGTAAAGAAACTACCAGCCACCGACAATCCAAGGATGTGTCAGCATTCTGTATTTGTTCGATGTTAGCTGGTAGTCTCACAGCTGTGAACAAACTATAGCAAATGCTGTTTAAAAATCGGACTCAATGAATTCCTGCAACACATCTCATAATACGTCATGAATTGGAGGGATAACGCTTTTGCATAGACCGCGAAGCCTCATTCATTAGTTTGCAGTCATTTTGGTCATCGATAAACCGATGGATTCTTCCGGGAATAGTCGCTTTATTTCGTGGTTCTATACTATTGTCACATGTCGAATCATGCTGGCCGCAACGCGTATACTGTGGACTTAGATTTGTCCACTTATGCGAGGTGACTAAACCAGTCAGTGTAGTTTTATATCCTGGGTTAAAGCGCCGCACAAGAGAGGTTGAATTCACGAAATGTGGGTACTGCAGAATCATGATTTTAATACTTAAGTTGAGTTTTTTTTTGTTCCCTGAGCTTTACCGCAAATAAATCTGATTGCTTGTTCTCGACCTGCTGTGTGCTCGATAGGGTTGAGAATGCCTGCGAAACGGTAGAAGTCCGCGGATTTAAAAACGATTTCCTTTAAATTTCAGTGTAAATGATGCTTCGGTTATCAAATGGGAGAGTTCCTTTTAATTATTTCGTGTCAGTTCAAGATGTTTCAGAGATTCTCCCTTAGTCCGTATCAGAGGTGCCAATTTTATGGAGGCCACCTTAGGAAACAAATTCTCAAACCCTTAACCTAATACCTTCACCTGCGAAGTATTGTCTACTTTAGGAACAAGAAATTACTTTAAAAAGCAGTGGATATGATCAGAAGCCCCGATATTATTAGACTGACTTCTGTGCGTCTTAACCACTATCCAAACAAATGAGTGTACGTTGAGTATCCTGAATTTCTTCAACTTCGAAGGCCTTTAGATGCATCGCAAACTTTTCGCTCATGGTTGAAAGTCTCTCCTAAGCGGCCTAATTCAGTTGATGGCGTGATAACTCGGTGCGTCGCCTCACATGACGCGGCAACGAGGGCTGCACCACGTGCTCAAGGCGGCACGGCAAACTCACGACGCATCAGACCAGAGCAGTCACCCCGACAACGCGCGAGGGGCCTCTAAAAGGCCTGTCGCACATCGCACTAAAGCAACTCCACCAGGGTAGCAACTGCAACACTTTTAAGCACGCGAGAAACTCACAACGTACGGCAGGGGAGGAAGCCGGCATGGCAACCGTGAAGGCAGCGCCTGAGCCCACTCACAGAAGGCGGGTGTCCTCACAGCTCACGGCCTGGCCGACGCGCAGGTTACTATCGGTTTGGCCATTTCGCAGTTTGAAGTACGGTGGTAATGAAGAGGGCCAGATTTTCCAGCTAAAGATCGAAGCTTTGTCGAAACCTAAATAGCTCCGAAAATATTATGTCCATGAATTAATTTGTACAGGTTTTCACCAAATTTATTTAATATAAAACACAGAGAACAAAGGACTAAATCTTGGACATCGTTTTCTATGACTTTGCGTCATCTCTCAGCTAACGTACAAATGCCGTCGAGAAAAAAATTGCAGGTTTTGAGGCAATAAACTCATCGCCAAGAGTTTTGAATGGCCTATCAACCAAGGCGTGGTGCATTGACCGAAACAAATGGTATACGGGTGAGGCCATCTGATTAATATGCCGCGTGTGGGAGAACTTCCCATCCCAGGTTCGTGGGATGTCATGCAGCGGTAGGACTCAGGCGGTTGCTCAGAAAATGGCCTTCTCTAACCAAGTTATTCGCTTAGTTTGTTCAATTGTCAGCTTTGGTGTTCCGCAGTAGCCGCCCGACCAGCCTTCAGGAGTTCGGAATAAAGTCCACCCTTCATTCCTCACCAGATACACAGCCGAACCTTCTTCATATCCTCTTTCGGCGTCGATGTTCTCCTGGGTTGCCCGGGATCTCGTAACAAGAAAATATACTTTCTATCACCCGTCATAATTTTGCCCATGAAGTCGTTATTTTGTTGCCGGTGGACAAACAGTGAAAGGCATGTGTGCATACGTTGACCTAGGTTGTGCTCGGCCAACCCATGTGTTACCCGATTTCCAAATTGCTGAATTTTTCCCATTTGGTACAAATGCTTGGAACTTGCTGTTTAGGATATTCCTAGCTGAGCTGCAAGCTCCTGTTGCGTTTGCGTTGAGTCTTCATCAAGTAGAGCTTGGAGTTCCACCTCTTCAAACTTTCGAGGCTGGCCTGGAGCGGCTGGTCACTAAGATCGAAATCACCACTTCTAATATGTTGATACCATTAATTACGCGTTTCGTAAGACAAAACGCCGACACCAGGAACACTACAAATTGATTCTCCATGCTATTGCGGCATTTTAACTTGTTGGAATTCGTATAACATTCAGTGCCGAATGTGCTGCTGATCAGGTACCATCGTAAACTTTACTATTGTGAGGGGTTATGCAATTCACGTCGATTTGGCGTCTGGTATTCTGAAAACGCGCGTCCGATTCATTCAAAACTAACAAAAACATTGAAAAATATATATCTTAAATGCAATTTTAAGATCGAAGAAAAATCTGTACAAATCACGTCATACACTAATAATTAGGTGTATCGGCTAAATATACGCAAGAGGGATAGCTCATTCGCTTTGAGATTGTGATACAGATTTCCTGAATCACACCTAGACAAGACCACTTCCTCCAGTCATTTAAATGCCTCTCAGCTTGCCCGAACTTGATCTTCAATTGATATTTTTAAAATTAAGGAAGGCGTATCCTTCAAGATACGGTACTCAGGCTTTGTGCTTGCCGGCCTTAGCCTGCTCATACTCCTGTCACCTTACAAAAATGCCAGCCAAAATTACATGCCTTAAAAGACATGGTATTTAGGTTTTCAGTCCAGCTCTCTATTTCCTCTGTAAATTGGGACTTTCAGGATTTATAAGATAAATAGAAAGCTTGCTTCCGAGACAACCGACGACAAAATGTTTCAATCAACCTGGTCTTTTGTACCCTGTGGGAAGCTCGAATGTTTACATTTGATTCCCTTCGGGACTGAAGTAAGTTCTGTGGATTAAAAATTAGCTAACATAATTAAGGCGGCGCGCATTTACACTTATTGCATGTGTCAATGCTAAGACCTTATTTCCGGGCAGAATACTTGGTTAATTCGTTAAAAAAATTATTAAAATGGAACACTCGAATTAATTGTTGTATTCTCTAATCTCATCTGGACGACTACATGCTAAAAGTATGTACCTAAACGCACGGGTGATTAATCTGAACAGCAGTAATAGATTAAATTTTAGCATTTGTGTCAAAACGTCGTGTTATCCCTTCCAAAAAGCTGTATACACGGAGGCAGAGGTGTGAGTCCAATCAACGCGTGACCATTAATTCGCACGTCCATTGGCTAACCCAAGGGGGTGCGTCGACGCATGCCCGCATCCTAGGCGAAAAGAACCAATCCCGCCCCCAATTTTCCACGTGAATTAATTTATCCACTCCTTGATTGGCTAATTGTGGGAAATCCGCATTCCCCATTTGCTATTTAACTGTGACAGTTTTCTAAAGTGATTATTGCCGTGTCTCCGTGAGTTCCAGGTTAGTTTAACAAGCACACTACTGATAGCCACTCATAAATATTCTGAGTGCTTTATGTCTGATGTATCTTTATTTTTATAGAAAATGATTGTATCTACCGTAAGCCAACCCCAGGACCTGTCGATGACATCCGGTGTAGCACAAACGTTTGCCATGCCCAACCAAGTTGGTTTTGACCTGAATCATCCGACCTTCTCAGTTACCGAATGTTCACTTCCTCTGCATTCTCTTCTCGTTGCAATCCTCAATCAATACAAGGAACCCCAGCAACCTGTGCTTCCGAACAACCAAATAATTGAACAGGCTGTCCGCAATGCTATCATTGAATGTTTGCCGTGTAAGAACTCGCAAGTGGTTATTCATGGACAACTGACCATCACAGTGGATTCTGCACCCCCAGTTGACGTAAAATTTGCTACGACAAACACATCAGTCACATCTAAGCGCAAGTCCTACCAGCCTGTTCGCATTCTCCCGGCTCCCTCGCCATCTTGTCAGAGCCCTGACTCCGGAGCTCTTGATCTTTCTCGTGCTGCCTCAACAATCTCTGAATCAGCTCCACTGACGCCCTTCAAGGAAGACTATCAGATGTACCATAGCCCTGGCAAGATCACAACTAGACGACGCCTAGCCGGTGGACGACGACTGTTCTCCTGCAACCAGTGTAGGGAATTTGACTTTCGATCCCTTCAGCACTTGGAGGCGCACACTCTCGAGGTTCATGGTGCATACCGTTGTCACCTGTGTCACGCCAGGTTCACACAGCGCTCCAACTTGCAGAGGCATGCACTGAAGCACGTCGGCTTCAAGCCGTTTGAATGTGGGGTGTGCAGACGAGCCTACTACCGCAAAGACCACTTGATGCGCCACATGGAAGTCACTCACCCCAACTTCGCACCAAGGGAGAACATCAACGTTTACTTGACCTCCTCTGAGAGTTTAGATTATTTAAAAAGGACTCAAACAGCTGACCAACCTCCGCTTCATCTAAAAACCGAACAGGCAAAACAGGAGATGGACAACATTGGGCAACTTGACGGCATCAGTAGCTCTCATCAACAGGCAGCCTTATAGGTAACATCGACGATGAAAAAGGGCATGAGAACTTGCACCAAATGGGCTGTGTAATTGTATATATATATTTTTAACATAAAAGCTTTTTAATAAATGACGACTTATTATCTGTCTTGTAAGGTGGACAATGATGAAAACCTAGGTGCCTTAACTGGGCAGATCAGTGGTACTTAGTCATGTACTTAAAAGTCGTGGACAATGTAGCGTGGTAGATGCATTGCCTTGTAAGAGACAGTGTCACCAGATTAGTTTTGAGTTTACCCTCCCTTGAAATGCTGGATTTATCTACTGCAAAACTCCCTGACCAGTATGTTGTGAAATTGCGAAATCGGGAGTCGGTTAATGCAAAACCCTCTAGAGAAGCAATGGGGCTTTGGGTTGGCAAGTGGGGAGGCATATTGAAAAGCGTAAAAATCTGCGCCACAATATCCTTGAGTCGTGCCTCACCACAGACCCTAGTGACTTGTCGGGTGTGACTAACCTAAATCAGAATACACTAAGCGCTTTAACATAAAGTTTGAGGGTTTAATAAGAATGCCGTGATTCGTCTGTGGGGTTTGACCTCTACCGATTTAGTCCTCTTCCATCAATTGACGTTAATGCTCCCTCTTTGATGACTCAATGTAACTCACACTTAACTTAGGTTCCCTAACACTTAATTAAGCTACTTTTGCACGAATCACATAATTACAGCTTTTACATGTCTCGTAGAGGAAGATTGTCTGGCGAACATGTTTCACGAGTTGCTAATGCATTACACTTCGATGGGGTGAACTCTAACCTTCCCAAACCACAGAGACGATGAGTTGGTATCCGGAAAATTATTCGGTGTGGACTAGATAGTCTGCATGTCATGAAGGCGAAAATAGTTTTAAGACAGAATGAGTCCTATGGAGTCGCGTTGAATCGTTGCCTTGCAATTTTGTGATGGGGTTATCGATTTAATTTAGCGCATGTCTTCCGATAAAAAACCGAGCCGCTGATATAGCAACCCAATATCGGTTTTGATTTAAGTGAAAACCGATTAAAAAATCGTTCTAAGTGTATTCCTTGTTGTTGGTCATCCTGATATTTGCTTATTCGTTTCTATGATTAAGGTGGATAAGGAAGATCCTCAATTTAAAGAAAAACCATAATTTAAAACGAAATCGCTTAACATGGTAGTATACAAACTATACATTCAAAAAACTGTTCCATTTATCTGATATGTCGCCAGTTATAGAATGCTTCTTTACAGGTACGTGAGGTCGATCGACTTAACAGAAAGGTCTACTGTTCTACATCGCAGGACAGATTTGACGCATGCACAGCTACAAAAAACGGGTCTTCCAGCACCAACCAGTGACTGAAACTGGCCCAAGTCGGGATTTGCACTCTAGGAAGCCAGTCGGTTATAAAATCGTGTGGAAAATGGCCGCAATAATAATCCCCAAGTCCTCCAATCATATCATCTCTCTTGTTAAAAATCCAAAAACTTTCGATTTCCCGATAAAGCCGATTTCATGCAGCCTAAATATTTTTTGATGTGAATAACTTTAATGCCACCGTAGTTATGGCTCAAAGAGTTCTCCATTGGATTCCCACTGACCGCCTCAACCCTAATTGAACCAGCAGTTTTTGAAGTCGCCAGCAAATCCGAGTCATTAAGGAAGTCGCACACACGTGCTGGCTCCCCTCCTCTCGATCGCTTTGACTGAGCAGTCGTAAATAATGGATGCCGCCAATTTTGAGAGTCGGGTGGTGGCGTTAGTGAGACCGCATCCCAGGCCCCACCAAGTGTCCGTGAAGGGGTGGATTTTTGCTAGGCCATTTAAAGGGAAATGACCCTTCTCACGTAGAACAGTTTTCGAGGATTGAAGATCCATTTTGTGTCCACGCTAGACTACAACAAGTTGGTGGCCGTGAAGTCCTAAGTGGCAGGACTCGTGGGGTCAGTGCTTTTGCGTTCAGCACCTGCCAACTCACCCTCGTCGACATTCATCCAATCAATGAATGCGCCAGTGTCACTTTGACAAGCACCGCGACTCAGTGCATGGGGACATTTCATTTGTGCAGATAGTCGTCTTCCTTTTATACCAAGCCTTCCATATGGCCCACTTTTCACAGCTAAACCAACTAGGCCCACATTTTTCACTTTTATGGATCTTAATTACTGTGTTGCATTATTGTGGGCGCATGAAACGCGAGGCCTCGAGAACTAGAGGATCAAACCATAAATTCGCGTTCCTATTCTAATGGCAAGCGATCAGTGGTTTATAAACATGTAGCCCCAGCTTCCTACATTTTGCTGATGCTCTGTGCGCAAATATGCGAAATCGCGAAGTGTTAGGGAGTTTACTACCGGTGGTCGTGATTCTTATTTTTAACGACGATGTGATAGTAAAGTTTAAAAAAAACACGAAACAAATGGCTAGTCTGACAAGCGGTTCGTTAAATCAAGGTCAATATTGAATGCAACATTTTCTGTTTACACACGAAATGGTCCAGTTGAGTGATTTCCCGGTCCTGTTTGCAATAAAGTCATGACTACCGGAATGTTCTGAGGACACAGGATACCGCACGCGCCACTAGCGCTCATTGTTTGGACCGAGATGGGGGGGGTGGGGTGCGGCACACCCACTTATCGGGGGTGGCTCGGAACTGGGTTCATAATAAGCTGACCCATTATTGTAACTCCCTGACCTCTCTGCGCACTACCACGTGTGCGCGCGAATGCAGATACAATCGGGGATTGTGAGTTATGTTCACAGAGGCCTTCCCCCCTCACTCCACTCCGGCCGCCGCCGCCACTCCCGCTGGGCTTCCGGTGTGACAGTAAATACACAATCGAGCACGCGCTGCACGTGTTCGTAGGTTCAGGCACTTGTCAGAAAACTTGTTTAAACAAGTCAACTACAAAACCCCCACCACCACCCCTCGCCGCCCACCTGTGCGTACTCCCCTGGCCAAACAAAATCACCTGCCCAGAAGATCAGTTTACCTTGGAGAAGGGGGTTTTGGCGCCCCCACCCTTGCCCCTCAGCCAGGTGTAGGAACCAGGTGTGTGCCCGTAAGCGGCTGAGAAAAGCAAGTGGCCTGATTTAGTTGCTTTAGCATTTCAAGAGGTCCTAAGCTTCCGAATTCCCATGAAGATGAGGAAATGCCAGTGTCCCACGACTCGTTTGTCTGCAAGCCTTCAGTGGTTGGTTCTGTGTCCTGTAGCACTGTGTGGGTGTACTACGGTATTTGCCGCCCAAATCCATGCTGAACAAGGTGTTTAAAAATACTATATTTTTTACTTTTAACTCCGAATATGAAACACGCTCACGTGGAAGTGAAGTTCAGTCCGCTGAAGCGTGGATCAGAGCAAGAAGAATTGCCTCAGCCATGGATGTCTTTGAAGTCTCAGCATTTTGGGCACTTCCTCCTAAGTCGACCTCTCACTAGATGACACCACCATATTAATAACAATTTACCACAACTTAGCTATTAATTGGTGAATTAGACGGACTTAACGCCTTTAACCAACGCCTACACGCTTGAATATCGTTTGCACCGAACAGTTTTAAAGGTGATTTATACTACGAGGCATATTCAATGACGCACACTTTCTTCAACTCAAAAATCAAACATGATGGGACTATTAAGATGTGCCCAGAATCTACTAGATACTCGTGTCTAGAGCGGCGTTTCCGTTCCAAGCAGAAACTGCACACAGTCATAGACTTCGGGATTCTGGACTGCTGGCTTCCAACAGCAGCATTCGGGTGGGTATGTTGTGCTTGGATGTTTGTGTTCCGTGCTTGATAATATAAACATTATCGTTTAATTAAATTATCGAAGTTAGAATAAACCCATTTTCGGAACTTCGGGTGCCAGGTGCCGCGAAAAACCGTAATGAATAGGCACTGGAGTCTTTCGATGACTCGGCAGTGTTGCCAACATTGAATTTACCTTGCACATAAACCTGGTTGCTTAGTGGAATACTAATTTACCCAACCAGACATACTGGCAATCCCGACTCTCTATGAAGTTACCTCTGCAATTACCTGAAATGGTAATCAGGCCGTGGTGGGCACAACTTGAGGCTTAAGTCACAACAGAAAATTAACAGCCACTTGTATTGAGGGGCCGTGCTGGTGCCTTGGGGGGAGGAGGAAGAATGGGCCCTGTAATGAAATACTAATGAGATTAAATTTGTCGGTCTAAAATGCGGGCTTTGGAGTTGTGAAATCAGGCTTTTGGTTACGGCATGAATTCCAGCCCTCCACCAATGCGGCGAGCTCGATGAAGTTGACCTGTAAGATTGTCAAGCAGCATGTAGTGGAAACGTCCACATCGGGAAGTGATGATTCCCAAAGAGAAGGAAAAGGAAAGCAACCTGACTCATTGGGAAAAGAAGCCTCTGATCTTACTTGGCCTTGCCCTTATTATGTTGGCGAATGCAAGTCGGGGCTTTTTGCCGTCAGCAGCTTGCGCGAACTCGTGAATGTGAATTTATGTTTGCATTTTTATGTCTGGTGAGTTCGGACCGAAGACAGTGGGTGACCTTAAAAGTAAACTTGGGTTTTCAATGAAGAAGTCCGATTTGTGCGAGCAACACCGTGTTCGCGGCATGCAACGCCGTGTCGGATGGTTCGTGCGGCCTTCAATGCCCGGGTGAGCCACCAACCTGCCCAGTCGAGGTGCCGCATTTGACTGAATGAAGTGACGTACAAACCCGGCTACGATAAAAGGACAATTGCTGACGATCTGACTTGTCTTTAACAACCTGGAACATCTACAAAGCTGGAGCTTATCTGTTACATTCGGGCCCCTGGTAAGTGTGCATCAAAAGACCAAAGACCCTGTCATGTCGAAGACCACGACAGGGTCTTTGGTGGTCCAGCGTCCAGTCATTGTCACGACCGCATTTAGCCTGCCACAAAATTGCAATGACCGAGCTCTACGATTGAATTTTATAACGACTGCTAGTATGCGAACATAATGGAACTATTATGCCATAAAAAGACCGCGAAGTTTCGCCAGAGTTATTGAAGCGGTCCTTAATCAACAGTCTTATTTAATAGGCGTTTCATTGACCTGTAGTAGGTGGCAATTACCTTGTGAAAGCCCTGGTCGTTTGGCCATGAATGTGAAAGGTTGCGCTTATATAAGCTATCTCATGGTCGATTTACGTACGCTTTCTGTGTTTGTTTTCGCAGTTCCAAGCTAGTTACTTAGCGCTCTCAATTAGACTATAATCTGCCACCGCAAAACTCTGAGTCAGTGTGCTCCTGTGTGACGTCACGGGTGCCAAGACCTCAAAACTTCGCCCTCAATTGGAGCCAGGGGCGAATCCTTGCCCTCCTGCCCCTCTTGATCATTCGGTTGTTTGTGGTCTCCTAAACTGAAGTATCCAGATGGTGCCATGCGTGCCATGGTTGGCCGTCAGGACCCCTCGATATGATTGGTTCGAGAAGGTTCGCGAGTATTCTTACTATATGTGAGGGGTTTTTCGGTTGCTTTTTACCTTCTCGTGTTCCTATTCCTCTTCATGGATTAAAATGACAAACGAATGTGCATGGTAAAGACAAGTGGTTGCAGCTGAAGAAACGTCAGGTCCTTCCTAACTTCGGCTCTTTTGCCAGACGACCTCCACTTGACACTTGAGCTCAGTTTTAGTTTTCATCTTTTTCTACAGGCGAAAAGGTCTCGTGCTTGACTAAAATGGTCACTTCGCTAACGGTATTGTCGTCAAACGCTGTGCTAATATTTCCCTCGGTTTGGACTTGTGTCATGTTTGAAACAGTGCAAAACTGAATTCCGTGCACATGTGGTCAACGCCATTATCAAAGAGTTCGCCGAAGCCACATTGAATTAAAAATAACAAAAAAGTACATCTTTTAGAGAACCGTGCAAATACCCATTGAACAGAAAATTAACGTAATTAATAATTTGAAAGATCATTTAGATGGAAATAAATGCTCCAATGTGTCATATCCCGATAGGCAGCGCTAGGTCCTCACTAATCTAATCCACCACTTGGTACAACACGAGATGCTTTATCCCAATTAAGGTGTACTCTAAATTGTTTGGTATCTCGCCCTCTGATTATCCTGTTACAGACTGGTAACCCCGTGGGCGTCTTCTGAGTGTGCTTCAGTGTCCTCGCGCTATGGTGCGAGGGTGTGAGTGTCAAGTGGCCTCCGCCTCCGCCATAATCATTGAAAGGCGGGTCCAAAAATCGTCCTCTGAGTTCACTTTATTGCATGTCCCCTTCGGCAGCCCATCAAAATAATGCGGGTGTGCACGCGCCCGAGAGATTTAACGACTAGGGCGGCTTCTCGTGCACCTGTGTGTGTGTGCATCCGTGTGTTTATACCAGTGGCCTCTCGCTCGCTCTCGCCAGTAGCCCCTCCCACGCCCCCTCCACATTGAATGACCACACAGCATAATACGGGCTTGCGGATGTGCGCTGCGTGCGTGCGTACGTGCACCTCACCCCCTTTGAACCACTCCCTGCACAGGAAGAGGAGTTTCGGGGTGGATGGTGGGTATTGCGCACACACGGATGGATGCACTCGTGATCATCCAATCGGCAAATGTAGTGTAAACTAAAGCCCAAAATTAAGAGGGGGCCGGCACAATAACGATGAATGCTTAGATTTACTGGAATTAAAGGATGTATGGGTGTTTGTTTTTTCCTAATTGGACGCCAATCTCCTCGCTGACACGGCGTGTTAACCTTCGCTATCTCACATGAACAACATGTAAACAAATCAATGAAAACAGAGAAAATCAACCGTCTTATTCATTGAAGTACCAAGCAGGTGCTCTAAACGTATTCAATATACCTTAGAAAATTCAAGTTCCACCCTGCCGGTTGTTCAGAAATTACTACAAAAAAGGTTAAAGAATTAGTGATGTGTTCAATTTCATTTGATACATCATGAACATTACGTGAACTCAATCACGATCCTGTGGGAAGGGTTGATGACGATGGCTGGGAGTGGATGCTGCCATGTGGTACTGTATTAGCACTGTTTGTTGGAAGCATGCTCGCATATATCAGGGAAACCTTTTGAAAAAAAGGGTTTACTGTTAATCGGCCAATTCCCATTGTGATGACATGCTTGGAAACCAGGAGCACTCGAGTAACCCTGTCCCAGTTTTTTTCAGTTTCAATGGCTCCAACACCAACAAAAGCAGTCACTCTAGCCATCACTATAAAACACTACGAAAATGTCGCAAAATTGAAACAATTTCAAGCAAAAACACGAAATTTACTACAAATGAGTTAAGGAAATCTCTTAAGTTCATCAAATGCAAGTTTAGTTTTAAAGACTAATCTACACGCATTGTGACCCATGGAAGACAGATTTTGGCATTGGTGGTGGTAATACATCTTGAGAAGATTATCAGGTGCAGTTTATCCCTGCTTTGGTGCAGGTTATCATCAAATACACCCCATTGAGGCTACCTGTTAATCGGAGTTGCGTTACCCGCTATTGGAAACAATTCGGGATTCATGACGCACCTCAAAAGTTCAGTGTTATTTCATTAGTTACACTTTTGTAACATTTGGTTGAAGACACCAGCAGTTACATGAATCACGAATGTTCCACATATCTAATGTTTCAATTGGTTGAAAAGCTGGCCAGGTGACTTTAATTTTTCTTCTAAATCTTCGCGTAAAATGGATGTTCACCGCGTGTCTGGTCTCATCGCCACACACACTATTTCTCGAATGGTCTCATGTTCCACTTGAGGCACGCCGATGCGTCCACATGATTCCACACAGGTCTTGATGGATGTTCCGATGAAGGAAGCGCACTGGTTTTCCAGAATCGCGGAAACTTGTGGATGTTCCATACTTGCTGTTCGATGTTCACACATGGCTACTATTATTCAGATTTAGCATTAAGTAATATGTATTAGGGTGGCATTAAAATAGATTTAAAGTCAGTCTTTAGAAAACCCTAAATTTTGTTTAAATAGTAAGAAAGTAAAGACTTAAATAGTGACAAATTTATTATTTGGTTGAAGGCGAGCTAGTTATCGAAGCCTCCCTTATTAGCTAGCAATGAGAATATTTCAGTAGATTCTAAATGAAGACCGATGTGACAGAAAAGGTGCAACTGACCGAATTCACTGTCGTCTGGATTCCGCCCGACTCAGCAAAACGCCCAAAGGACCTTAAGGTAGCCCAAATCTCCAAACAGCGGGTGATTAACAGGCCTTGTCTGCCAAATCACCCAGTATTAAGCGATCAGTATGGGTAGAAGTCAATTGTTTGTGGTGCATTAGTAGACCTTTGAATTTGTAAGACTATCTGTCGTGTTGACAGGTATACAAGTTTTTGACTTCCTACAACTTGGCCTAAAAATATTGCGTCTGCAGAAGACATTTAAGTTAATTTACACGTGAACTTAAAATAAACCGTTATTACCAAATACCACTATCGAAGTTTGGATAAATGAAAAGAAACCTAATATTTAGCTTTGTATCTTCAAATGCGACAGTTGCGGCTAATGAGGGCATTTTAACTCGAATTCTGCATGAAATTACAAGGATGCGCCTGCCGGGTCACAGGTGCAAAGCCACCCTCTAAATATCTACTCATTGATTTAAAGTAGGTAGTATTTAAAATAAACGACAGTCTATAACGTGAAACTTCAAGCGCTGACCGATATTCTTTCACATTGGTTCGAATTAGAATTTATTAACACTGATGAAGGAGAAACCAGTTTAGTTCTGAAAAGCTCCTTCACTGAAGCGCACAAGAATGGGTTCCAATAAGATCAGGCCTTTTAGGTATATTTGTAAAATTTCAAAATGTTTAACGCACTACTGTTGAAATGGCTTCAATTTACGTGAAGAAATGTGTAACCGTTTCCAGTGGTATCCGGAACCAGTTTCCCTAGTTTTTGGAATTTCCTGCGTCCACTTTCCGGAATGTGGTAATTTATATAGGGGACGTGCATGTAAGTTGTACACCAAATTGACTTCACAAGCCCCTTTGCCTTAATTTTCTCCTCTGACTAGAAGTGAGATTCAGAGGCTGATAGTGGGACGTATATTTGCACAATAAAACTGACTTCTATCGCCTCGACAATGTAGAGGTATGCTAAGGTGAAAGTGTAAGGCCCCGTACACGTGTCTGTCATTAGGTTAACCGATGCTTCCACTTTAGTGAAGGTAACCCTGTCCCAGCACGGTTCCATTTTGGCAGTTGAACGGTCACATTTGGCAAAGATAAGTTGCTAGGCCCGGGAGATCTGAATTTCCACAATTGCTAAAGCACACCGCCTCCTGCATTCGACCCTCGCAGACAATTCTTGTGCGTTTTAGTGAATGAAATTTCCAGGAATGAAGCACACATCCTGCCATCGAATTGAGGCACTAGCGACTTTAGTGCTGCGTGAAACTCCGGCCCTTGGGGATACAAAACCGATGATAGTACTTAACAACTTCCCCGTTTTCCATCGATTACTCGTTGTACAACGCGTTAGACGAAAATCCGTTAGCATGTCTACCACAGCAAGCCATTTTAATCAAAGGATGCTCTTTACTTGTTAAAATGGCATGTGTACATAGGCTGTCAAATAGTCCGCCTATACTATAAAAATTGGGATAGGGGATGCTTGAGAGTAGCGAAGTAAGTGACAAACTCAGATATGTTCTTCGATCAAATAACTCGTGATAATCAAACAACGCAGTAGGGCGACGCGGTCAAGGGTGCCGTTTTGGTGGGCGTGTTTGGGGTGGACAGTTTCTAGTGGGGGTGGGGAGGGGTGGGGTGGAGGGGGGCTAATTGCAGATATGAACTTCTTCTTTCCGAATGCAAGTCTGACACTCAACGGAACAGCACCAGTGAAATTGGCAGTAGCAGCGTTCCCTGACCTCGCGGGTGTAAGTTCGGTGACCCCGACCACAGCAGAGGACCGTGCACCGCTCGCTTTCATGACCTTGAAATAGACACTCCCGTCCTGAAGTGTGCGTCTTTCCCGTCAAAGGGTTCACCTCGCAGAAATTTGGTGAGTCCTCAAAGTAAATTAGGTGATCAGATGTGACTTGCCGAAGATGGCGGTTCGCTCGTTGCAGTTGGGTTCCGCGCCTATTGAACTTAACCTGAAGGAGCAAAAAGGTCGTGATTGGCCAGAAGCACATAAGCAGGAAGGCTCCGGTTCTGCCCAAAGAAGCCTAGCGCTCATTGGAAGCAGCCTGGTTGTTTAACTCACTTTAATTGCGTTCTCGTAGCTTTCCTGAAGACGCTGACCGACCCTGGGGAACGGTGACAACTGGGTCCAGCAGGTCCGTAAACTGCACGATCCGGACATGCCATGACACTTGCAAGCCACGGTGGCCAATCTGTAGACGGACTATCGAAAAAGCAAAAGTGCAATTCAGCGGCCTGGTAAGGATGTGTGTGTGTGTGGGAGCAAGAGAAAAGAGCCACTAAATTTGGCAGTTGATATGTGCAAGTAGGTCAATTACTACTTCCGTGAACCTCGAAATACCAATCGAATTGATTTGCGTAGGCTCACGCCCTGTTAATGTTGGCAGGGAAGTGTTATGTTCCCGGAAGTAATTCGGCCACAACCAACTCTCCCATTAATAATAAAAAGAAGGAAATTTTATTACAGGAGTTCCTCTGTTGATTTACAACATCCATAAAAAAGCACTAAGCATTCGTCCTGGCTGAATGTCACTCAAATATACATAAGGCACCATGGTTCACTGCTATTATCATATGGTGGTAAAACTGTCTGTGTGGCTAATTTGTGTGCCTCTTTCATTTTCATCTAAAAAACTTCCATTCATGAGCAATTTTTTTGAAACTTATTTGTACACCTCAGCGTTATTTAAGCGAGCAATGCGGTTATGTGCTGGAGTCCGCAGTGATCACTGCTGACCTGACTGGCGATTTCGCATTGTTAGTGCGAACCCGATTGCCTCAATAGGGTTCGAATTCCAGGATCGGTGGCTGGCCTTTCACCACAGAAATATTTCTACGAAATTTCGCTCCATTAGATGATGTGCGAGAATATCTCAGAACTACCTTTACGTGATTGTAAGTGTAAATGAAATATTGCGTCACGCATACCAGCCGGCCAACTCGATTATTGTGCAGGTTCATGAGTTTGCGTGCCAGACCAAGGGAGTTGCGCGGGAAGCTCTTCTCCTTCTCCCGAATGTCCACAAAGGCCTTCGAGAATCGGTAGGCGTAGTCGATGTTGTCGCCGCAGCCGCCCCAAATCCAGTCCCTGTGGAGCTGTTGGGGTCGCTCGGCCCGGCTGCAGCCGCAGCTCGCGATGCGACCCTCCTTGCAGCTGCGCGCCAGCGCGTGGACGGCGCCCGCAGACGAGATGGCGTGCGCGACGCCCGCCTCCCGCGTCCCTGCGGCGAGATGGCAGAAAAAAAGACGTCTGTAGGAAAGACACCTCTAGTTCTTCACATCTACAAACTCTTTTCATTTCGCCTGACTGTTAGGGATCCACGATTTCCCAAGATAGGTTTCTGATGCTATTTACATTTATTCACTAACATTTATTTTACTGCGCTTTTTATCAAGTCAAGGTCAACCCTGACTTGAATTATTTTCACTTTCGATACTACACTCCGCACGTGGTTGACGTGAATAAAACTCTACGCGATCTCTGGTCACATTCTCGTATTAGCCTGGGAAGGTCGGTTCTAGCTTCAGCTAGGGATCTGGTACCATTATTTGAGTTGTCTTCTCTTTGTTACGGGCAAACGTAACACTGACTGCGCGCCTTCAGGGTGCCAGTGTGTTCGAATCGGCTAACTGCGTAACGCCATCGAAGATCTCAAGACCCATGAACATCAAACTGTCACCCCAAAACCTCAATGGTCTGTAGGAAACTTATTTTATACAGAATTGATGGTGTAGAGGAGCCAGCATTGGCATAGACATGACTCTCAAACCAATGCTGAATGACATGTCTCTATTAAACTACGGTAACTTGAAATGAGCTGAAACGTTTGAAAACTGCACACCATTGCAGCGCTCAGTAAACATAAGTGGACTTAAGAAGCGTCTTGTTGACTGTTAAAAAAGGAGCTGGAAAGTGGGCAAAGTGATTTGGTGAAAAGAGATTTTCGTCATGAATTTGGCGTTGAGGGTTGCATAAATGGAGACACCAAGACCAACCAAAGCGATGGCTCTCGTTGTCAGGACACTGAATGGGTGCCCTTGCCAGCGGGAAGGACACACATTTTGTCCATCGTTATGCCAGGCTTATTTACCGTCTAGTTTGAAAGGTTAGGGAATTTTGCTATTATCTTCTTTCCTGCAACTACGGCGTTTTAGTTTTTGTTTAATCTAGCACCATGATTCCATTTAAAGTCAGTTCATACTCTGGACGGAGTTGTGAGCTATGCTGCCTGCGCCTATTTACGTATTTGTCTAGAATTCAATCTAACTTCTTCTAATTCAGACCCGTGCTGTGTACCATGGTGGAGTATGTGAGGATGGTTCCTTCACTGTCCTGCTATGTTCATGTGAAAATGTTCCCCTCAGTTGCGTGGGCTGATGTCGTGTACTTCCACCACGAAATACCTAACTCAGAGGCCGTATTTCATTTTGTAATTAGTCAGAAATGGCAATTTGCTACGAAAGTTTTCTGACACCAGCACACCTCATTTCTGGAATGAACCCTTAAGGACAGGTGAAGTGACAACCCTATAAGTGAAAAACTGTCTGTCAAAGCTGTCGGGTTGGTTTCCTGTACGCTACTGGCGCTGATTTTCTGTGTCACAGGCCATAAAAACAGGATGCTCTCAGGATGAGGTAGCTTGTCGTGAAAGCAATAATTATATCGTCTTTTTTCTTGTAAACTGCCGCCCCGTGTCTGGCTGTCGCGGTGAGGGAAAACCACGGCGTGAAGACCGTGTTCCGAGCGCAAGACGTGCACATGACATGGTGCGCACGTGCACGCGTGCACCACCCCCTTCCCCCCGTGCGCGCCAAGGCACTTGGTGCGGCGGTTAGCAGGCACGCTGCACGCCGTAATTGCAAACAGTTGGTGGCAGGGTTCGGCGGGCAAACCAAACAGTTGTCATGGTCGTCGGCGTCCCTGCGGCTCGGCTCGTGTTTTCCGCACAAGCGCCTGCAAAACCGCCGGTGAAACGAGAAAACATGGATTGTGCTGGGTGGAGGAAGAGAAGTTCTTGGCGCGCCCGAACAACTTCGGAGGAATACGGTTGCTTTAACTAATTGTTGCGGCCCCAAGAATGCGAAAAATCGGTCGGGTTTGTGACTAGCGCAGAAGTAGATTTATTCACTCTCACGACTTGATAGTTACCCCATGGGCGCAATGAGGTCATTAAAATGTCGAAATTCAACAATTCTGTACGTATTCCTGGCGCTTCAGTGTGTCGTAACGGCGGAAAGTGTTTGATATTCTCAAAGTGGTGAATTGGGACTATTAAATTATGCCTCATAGACTCACTTCCCTAGCTAGACACGGAAGCTCCTCGATTACCTTAAGCAAATAAATGTGATAAACGGCCATAAGTGGTCTTCATTCAGGTGTAGACTCCGAAGACAAGTGTAGAGTCCCATTGACAGAGATTAATAAGCAATTAAAAAAAATATACTTGTGTTAAAGGTAAGGAAAGTTTGGCGTGAGTATAGCGTAGGAACATCCTGATGGGGGTAGTTTTAGTTTATGTAGAATGCCGTTCAGAAGCTCCTGTCGGTCCCCGTTTTCACAGTGCACTTCAGTAGAAGCATTCTCGTTATTATTAGTTGGCCGGGGTTTCACCGTGTTATGTAAACGTAGCAAAATACTTAATTTGCGAACAGAATTTTGGTCGGCAACTCAGCTTTTCGTTTAAAACCAGGTAATTACTAAGTTAACGCTGAATACCTTAACTACACAACATTTCGATTGATAGGGAAAAGGACAAAAAAGACGGGTCGTTGCAGGAGAATATTTAGAAATCCAGAGTTGTATTTCAGTCAAGTTTTATTTCTACTGAAGCATGATTACTTACGGTATTGTAATAAAATAAGAGAAACGTTTAAGTCAACACAATATCCTGAAAAGGTTCATAAAATTTCAGGATATGTTCGCAACTAGCATGTTTAATGGTTCGTCGATCAAATGTGCGAGGATGAACTAGGTGTTGAAGTTTGGATCTGGGCAAACAAAATTAATAATCACCGAGGATTGTCACGGATAGTAAGCACTGACAACAAGGCAACCAGCGAGTGATGAAGTAGGTGGGAAAAGTGCGCTCAATCCTGCGATCCCACTTCAGGAACGCAATGTCGATGCAAGCGACTAGCCTGGCCTGAGAAGGCATGTGAGTGGTGCAGCGTAGGTCACAGTTTTCTAGGGCTAGCATCACTCACACCACACTGGACCTCAAATCGTTTGACCTTAGGCAGAGTCGCCACGATTTCCTTACACGGATCTAAGTAACAGGATGTTCAACTTAGCATCCACGCTTTTAAATTAAAAGAGACATATATATGCCTGATTTCTACTAGTATTATAACTCACTTAGTTCCTTCTTTTTAAAGCAGTGAGTCTAAGCTGCAGGCGAGGTTGCCCTCTAGTTTACAGTCCAGGAATGCTTTGAATAATTATTTCAAAAATATAGGCAGTTTGCAATGTATTGACCCACAGGAGCGCACGCGAATCTAAAACTTTCTCCGAGGTCACCGGAAGATGCCGAAGTTTTGCTAGACTGATCAAGTTGTCATAGCCGGATGACAGATACAGTGGGCGTAGTAGACATGTGCATACCAATCATATCTAAGGATGAAACTTAAGTTCTAATGGCTGGGAAAGTGTGATTTTGCTTCAAAACAACTGTTTCTCCGCCCGCCTTTTGGTGCTACGAGGGAACGCCGCCGTGCTTCGCATTCCTTCCTCACGAAACAAGTCGCAAAAATCAGACAGTCAGCCTTAAGAGTCTCCTTTTCAGGTGCAACCTGTTTCTCACCAAAAAAATTTTCACTTTTTAAACCGGGTGACTCAGAGAGAGACCTGAATTTGGTGCGGTTGCAAAAAGTGAGTTGGAATTTGGAAATGGTGAGCACACCGTCGTGCGTGGTTGTCAAATTTTGAAGAGTTCCAGGTGTGTAGAAAGGGGTTTAGTTGTTGGTTAGTCATCTTTTGCTTAACCTAAAAGAATAAATATTGTGACTTCCATTAGCATTAGGATGAGTTGAGATTCGAATTTGCACGACTGGCAATCGGGTATGACGGCAGCAATAAGGACTGTCTTACAATTTTATTTGCTTGTCATCAGTGGTGAAAGCCTTCGTGAAAATATAGCTCGCGTGATGTTTGTCCGTTCAGAGAATAAGCAGACAGTCAAATCCTGCTGTGACGTGTTCTGTGCTGTGCAATAAAACGATTTTTAGGACTCACCGTTAATCCTACACACTGTTCAAGCGGGAGATTTGGCCTCCAAGGTACCATACTTTCCAATACAGGGATGCAGTTGACAGTTTCGGAGTAAGAACTCAATGGATTGGGGAAATTTGTTGGGGAAACAGAAATTTTATCGCATTAGCCGCACCGGTTGATCAAAGGCTCAGAATGATAAAGTCCATTTCATAGGCATCTTTCCGGACTAAACACTTGACACTAGCAAATCCCGCATAAAGTAATTGCAATTTATACGTCACGGGAGCTTTATGAGCAACTTATTTTCGAGCTTTCAGGTCTTTGGATAGTTCATGTGATTAAGATTGCACAATTTTTATTTCTTTTAGTGGTCACAAAATGGAATCTCGGCCAGCAGCTGTGGCACTGATTTTCGACTTAAGTAAAAATGGCGTTATTTAAAGCTTAAGGACTTGACAGTAGTACTTTATTCCTAATGATTAGTTTAGGTGGTAAATACTAAATAATTTGTTTTAGATTGTTGCCAATTACATAAGAAATGATTTCAATTAGTTCGGTACATTTGGTTACTGCAGATATTTTTAGTATTCATTACACCTGCGGTTACAACTCGCTTAATGTTACGTAGGCTATTGTAGCTAAATTTGAGTACACGTCATCACTCAACGTATTGTCATTGGCTTGCTGAACAATATCCCTTAATCGTTATACTCAAATCATATATGTACCCAGCCCGACCTACGTGCACATACCCTCGCCGACAAACGTAACTTGATACGAACGAACGTGTCCTCCCTACCTCCGGCCTCCCCACTCCTATCTGGCATTGCCCCTGGACACAGACTCTACTGAGACCAGACCACCACAAGCTCTCGTGAAAAGTTAGAATGGGCTTTAATCGCAATAACTTTGATCTGACAAAATAATTTTTGTCAATCAATGGGAATTCCTTAAATTCTCCCAGGTGTTTACTCGGCAGAAACCAGAGTGTTGGCTGTGTGCGCGTTTAGTGATGTTAAATCCCAGTTAGAGTGGAGTACCGATTAGACATGCAGCTTTGTATGAGAAACGTTTGCTAACGTTCGAACCCACAGTTTTTTCGGTTTACATGGAGCACTTTTGGGTACTGCACAACTAACCATCTGAAAAGCCTCTCTGTGTTTCGTGTGGTGCTTTACGGTAGTGAGTCGTTTTGCGTAGTGAAAACAGTTAAAAATAAGTGTCACTCACCATGGCGAGTGGTCACGCCAAGGGAGAAAGCCTCTTTTCCAGAAGAACAATTCCAGTGGCGGTATTTGAATTGTTCTTCACACTGCAGGATGCCAATCCGTGCTCCGATGCTGATGATGGGCATGTGGTCGAAGTGCTGATGACACATAATCAACTGAGATCGCGAGAGACCATAGCTTTGCATGCAGAGGGGTTTGTGTTGGTAGAACGATGCCGGGACTTCATGCAATCGGTGCCACGGTAGAAGTCCAAGGTTCCTTAGCAAAATGCAAACACTTTATCAAGCGCCTACAACCTCCCATTACGGTTATTCACAGTCATTTCAAAACAGAGGTAATAGGGTACTCGTCTATGATTAGCAAGGTCGTTGTAGAACCAAATGCTACATTTTCTCTTTGACTGAGGCCGATTTTTAACCATTACAGCGAATATTTACGATCAAGTTTTGGGAAGCACCTGTGACCTTCGGACAGCTGACAGGCATCTTGGAGTATGTAAAAAGCGCGACCAAAAGCACATCTATCTGTTGCGTTTGGCTACTCGATTGGCAAGGATTTTACTAGATGTACCGACTGGTTTTTTTTCTTGGTGTTGTCACAACCAATCAATTTCGTGTAAACGCTCAATCGAACGGTCCACGCGTTTCTCACTTCACTGAGTCTCCCGTCGCGGGGCCGGAGGGGAGAAATTGGCGATGACCCTGCTGGAGGGTGGCCGCCAACCTGCCTGACGTCGGTGCACGACTGGCGGGTCCTCTCAAACGCGTTGGCCCTTTTACTTGCCCTAGTTAACGCAGCATGTTTACACTGACAACGAGACATCGTCAAACATGGCAGTGTACATTCATTATCTAAGACTACTAATTATAGAGCATTTGATTATTAGTTAAAACAGTTAAGTAGGGGAGCAGTAACGCTGAATTGCGCCTAATGAATTAAAACGAAAAGAGATTGAACTGTTTTATTATATATTTTTTAATTCCTTAATCAGTTACTGTCATGCGCAAATTCAACTGATCAGCTCAGTTACTGCAGTTAAGTGAAATGAGAAAAAAAGCAACTTTGAAGGGCAAACTTCAATTGAAAAATTTGGAAAGACCTTGAGGCACATTTATAAAATGTTTTTAAAAAAAGTGCGGAAGTGTCTGCGCTCCTCGGCTGTTATTCGTTTTCTGAATGAGAAGTTAAGTGCATGGTCCAGAAGCCGAAAATTTTGATCAACTCATTTGGCTTCTTAATAGCTGAAATGACCCTACTGGAGGCAACTATGCATATTCCCCGTTATATGCGGATTATTGGTTAAAACTCCGAATTATTACTCCACTTAAATTATTCATATCAAATGTTAATCTGTAAAGATTAATAGCAATTAATTTGAGATTCTGTTTGGGTTTGAGTAACAGCGTAGGTAGTGTTAATTTAAGAGACATTTGCACTTGCAGAAACTCTTTGAGGTAACATTACAGGCTCGCTTATTTATAAACTAAATCAAGGAAAACTGAATGCGAGAAATCTGCACTTCACATCGGGAGATGAGCACCAATTATTGTGCAAAATAACTGACAGCCGAATCACGAAATGGTGCTGTCAAGGCCAATTGAGCCAACACGCAATGAGCGCATGCGTACCACAAGTTTCATTAAAATCGTTTAGTAGTCCTTCTAGAGTGACCGCGTTCATTTGATGAGTGATGACTGCGAGCCCTTGTGAATCTATTTAAAGATCAAAAGTGTAATTACAGCTTGTTCCATCTGCGCAAATCACGAAGCCACGGTTGTATGCCAAGGCCAATAAAAGTTAGTGATGTGCCCATTTTCCATGCCGAAGTTATTCAAATTTAGCAGAATTTGGCGACTTAAATTGTTTTCTGTGCATTCTTGCGAGTTAATTTTCTGTAGGTCGCATTATCCTATGTCTGCAACCTTAATATTGGTCAATTGTGGGAGATACCTATTCCAAGATGTGGAGAAGATTGAATTTATTTAATGGTAAAATAGCTTCCACTCACTCAAAATAAAGCAACCAATCAGGTAAATTGTTTGACTGTGTTTTCCCAAGTTCGCCTGCAGACAATACTGGTTAAAACCGTTGTCACTAATACCAGCTTCAAGCCGAAGGGAATAACCTTGAAATCATGTCACTCTGAGGGATCGTTGCGACGAATACACGAATTCAAATCGATCACCAAGTCACACCAGTCTCCTTAGTTGTAAAAATCATTTCTGCAGAAATCTTTCTGGCCTGATCCATTAAACAAAAACCTGTGCACATCTAGCGCCCACGCGGGATTTGTCGACAGGTGTGACCTTGTTGTTGTCCATGTGAGAGTGAATGGGTGATTGGGTTTTAATCAGTGGATGTATGCTCTTTTGCGGATAGTTGCGCTCGTGTGTGCTTAAATAAATCTTTCCAGAATGATACCCGGTGCTAAAATGCCTAACAGAGCGGTGGTGGGGTGTGCACAGGCGCCGTCTGAGTGCAGTCACGGTGGGGTCCCGACCGCTTCCGTCAGGTGGCAATGCAAAAAACTCGCACAGCACGGAGGAGCATGCAAATCAAGGTTGAAAAAGAGTGGCTGGTGTGACTTTCGGCCCACCACTACAATTGGCTCCAGGTCAAATTGGGGAGGGCTCGTGCCTATACGGGGACAATTAAGAGACTGCAGTACATGCTCGAATATATGCTGTGTCATTTGAACCATTTCCACGAAACCGAATTCATTATTCATGAATTCTGGACATTTTGACTTTCTAAAGTAACACCAAAGAACAATGCACTTTTCTAAGCTCACGAGGTACAATAATCAAATTATCAGGTTCCATCAAGCCAATGGATTGCTGACGAAAAAAATTTGGCAAAAGTGATGGTACAGATAACCAATTAAAATGTCCGAAGAGCTGACATTTTTTTGGGGACAAATGTTTTACTTGGCTGAAGACAAGCAAATTTTATTCAACTAAGAGTCATACAATTTTAAAAAAAATGATCTGGCTCTAGTCAGACTAAGCATTCAGATTTTATCTACTTGGAGCTGCCCGTAGTGCAACCATGTTTAAGTCGTGTTAAAAAAATGCTATAATTACCCCGAACCAATGAAAAACTCGGTTTGTCTAAGGAAAAAGGCACTGTGTAATAACCCTGACTTTCTCCGTCCTGCATAGATAGTGACTTTAGTAAATTCAAATACCAGAATAAACCACAAAAGGGCAAAATTTGGCACACCTCCGCGTACGGAAGCGCTTGCGGGAGACCAAGGTGTCTTGGTAGTGGCTCGGCGAGTTGAGCACGCAGGCTGCTTCACGTACCCGGATGCTATGTGGACAAAGGTATAACAGTCAACGAAGACCTAGGACCAGTTCCCCATTAACAATGAGCCAGTTATGCGCATGACGCTGCAGTCATTACTAGTGTTATTACTTATTCGAAATGGACGGCTTTGAGGATTGTGAGTCCCAGTGGACAAGATACAAGGTCTGTAGTTCGGAAAAAGTGCAGCTACACATAAAAAGAGCAAACTTCATGGTACGGGACTAATTTGCCGCTGACGCCGGCAATGCCGACCAGATTTTTCAATTTGTCGGTTTTTGTCACTCATCGGTGTGACATCAAGACTTGAGGCAAGAATGCGCCTACGCACCCATTGGCTAGACACGAATTATGTTGTTAGCCACATGCACGCGCGCGTCATGGTTGGGAGAGGCAGTCGAGGAAATCTCCACGGCAACATGGTGATAAATCACCGAAAACTGCGGAAACCGTGTTTTCGCTCCCCAAGCGAGTGAGTGAGCGAAGAAAATTGCTGCAAGAAGTCGCGCGTTGTTTTTCTGCCATCATCTTGTGAAAAACCACCTCTTCAATTCCCCCATCCTGTGTATCGGTAGTGAAAGCTAGAGTTAAATTTGAGGTTTTCATTAATTTACGGTTTGTAGTAAAACAGTGGCCAGAAATTGGGTGAACAGAAGCTTCGTTGCTTTTTAAGCAATCACACATTGCTCTTTTAGCCTCTTCCAATTGCATAGAAATTAGGACATGGTGAAGGCTGTAACAGCTTAATTCAGCAGAGAAGCTGTGAAAATTTATTCCAAACCGCAGCACTTGCAAAGGCAATTCATCTGGACTAGCAACACGGTAAACAGCACTTCCATATTATTGCCCTTATGGTCTCTATTCGCAAGTAAGTGGTTCAGTGAAGGGCCTTAATCCAGTGCCGATTCTTCTTCCTTCATCATTCTGAGACCCCTCCAAACAATGCTCTGAGTCTTTGGATTTTCGATGCGGGAACCAATATGTGTAAAAACGGTGAATCTACATCTATTGCATTAATTAAATTAAATCATGGATACATTCGAGTACAGTGGGTAAGTCTGACACGTTGGACACGATGTAACACTTGATACGCCACACTTTAGGCGCGATTAGCTAATGAGTACCAGCGGGCATGTTGGTTACGAGTTCAATGCAACAGTACATCACGGTTCCAGTAGAGCCACATACGGAAACAGTCCCTGCAGATGAAGTTATATTAAAGCTACTAATTAATAAGGAGCTCAAAGGGATGGCCATAAAATAGCCCTGTATAGCTTCCTGAATTACATACTGCAAGGCGAAGCCGCACAATGCGTCATCACATTCCAGTCACCTTCTGCTTAAAATGGAATGAGTGGGATGGCAGGCGCAGATGATTTTGTACAGAAGTCAGTCTTACTCTCCTCCCACATTGACACAAAATCAAAAAGTGGACTGATGAAAGGGAGTTTGTTTTTAAATAGTTTGGAGCACCGACCCCACTCCGTATCATTTAATTTTCGATAAAATTCGCCAAAATTTAGTAAAACGAAAGGCTACGAAGGGAATCCATGAGGTCGCCTTGTTTCCCGGTGCCACTCACCAACCGTATTTGACGAAACCCGAAAAGATGACAAACAAATTATTTCCCAGCGCCTAATAGAAATGGCTGTAAGGCTTGGTGGTGCGAATGCGTTGAATTTCATGACACCAAAGGGTGATCATATACAAAGGAGTAATTCGTCCCGAAGCTGATTGAAGAAACCCCACTGCTCCACCCGCGGACACCAAATTTGGTTTACAAATACGCCACGTGTATTGAAATTGTGAGGTTCTTTATTCGACGTGTTCCATTGTGGGAGAGAGCTAGTTTGTCATGAATAAAGAGGGGTTACACTTATCGCGTTCTCATGTGCACACTTTCACACACCACTCCGAGGTGCTGGGCCGAAGGTGGAATCAGGGCAAACGTAGCACCCGCTTGCAGTCCCGCGGATGGCGGGTGGTGGGGAGGTTCCCACAGTGCGGGCACACAGAAATCCTCAATTTGCTGGGTACCTGATAGGTCGCATTTTGAACGTGCTACCGGCACTTGCAGTGCAACATGCTTATTGCGAATTCTACTCGCTAGCTTCACCGGTAAAGTAGAAATGAATATACCACAGCTTGAAGATCATATGCTTCATAGTGAACAAAGATGGCCACTATGTAGCTCAGAACAATGATACATTACGCCAACGAAAATGGACTGTTCAGGGAAAAAAGTACTTGCGACATTTTTCCGTTGATACTTTTACCAAAAATTTTGCATCATTGAATAGAAAAGACCACTAGTTGCGTTAATTTTAACGGAATGCGAGTCTAAGTGTTGCAACATGAACATGAATTAGGTTTTAGAATTAAGAAAAAGTCACTGGT